CACTCTTTCTTTCTCTAATCTTCAGCTGTTGTCGGAAGGGCACTCCATGGCTAGACTCCATTTGGATTACTCCTTTGACTAAGTTGGAGGTTGGCATAACAGGGGCTTTCAGTGGTGATCTTTGCTTCCTACAGAAACACAGGAAAACACACTTGTTTCAAAGAGATCTTTTAAAGGCCAAGAAGGACTCTTAAAGTTGCCTCCCCCAAGGTCAGCTCAGACACCCCAGGAAATCGAGCACAAGTCTGTAGTGAGTGCAAGGGAAGAAGTTCACTCTCCAGCCAGCAGCCAGCCTTTCTAGCCCACGCCAGCAGTTTTCAATGAGTTGCAAAGTAATGACTGCTGCTTGGTTCCACGCCTCCAGCAAATATACCTACCGCCCTGTATCAGTCTATTTTTGCTCCACCCCTTAAAATGAAAACCTACATGGTGGCAAATTAGACAGCTGGATTCCTCTGTTGCAAATATAACCGCTTACTCTCAAACCAAGCCTTCCCTCCTCCTCCCTCTCTGCCATCTGACTCCTGCTTAGGCAGCCCTTCCCCAGGAGTCTGCTGAATCCCACCTCCCCTCTTTAAACCGGCAGCTTGTGAGTAGTTTGTTTTGTTATATTTTTAACTTTCTAAAAATATTTGGAAAAGCTCTCCCCAGGGCTAAGGAAACTTTAGTTCTTGTTAAGCCACGTGGTTACAAAAATATACTGGAAGAGAGCTGCTCAGTTTGTGAAAAAGTCTTTTCTTGAAAAGAAACGGACTTTTCACCACTGTTGGGCAGGGGAAGGGAGCAGGGCCAAGCCTCGGAGGGGACTGGTGTTTTCCTCTATAGGTCTGAACCCTCAGTGTGGGAAAGGTGGCTTGGCTTGTGCCCTGGCTGTTGAGAGAGAGGTGTGGGCAGATGGAGGAGTGGTGACCTCTCCAGGGCTAGCTTTTGGACCCTGGGATAGTGCCCCCCCTCCCCCCGCCCTGCTCCTTGAGTCTCCCACTAGGTCTGTGTTCAGTCCCTCTTCCCTGGTGGTTTCCAGCCTTCCTCTCCCACTGTGTCCTGTTCTGTAGTCGGAGCTTTCTGCCAGTGGCCCTCGCTTCTTAATTCTGGCAAGGTGAACACCTCCAGGGCTGGGCATGGATACATGTATGGTTTGGAGGGGTTCTGCTGTCAGAGAAAGGGAGGTGCCATTGGCCTCTTGCATTGGAAAACCAGGTCAGCAGTTGTGGGGCGATGAGATCACCCAGAAGAGACTTTACCCCCTTCCTCCTTCCAGTTGGATTTTGAAGGTCTCTGTCAGTCTGAGTGTTGCTGGGTGGATTGTCTCGGTCAACCTCAAATTCTGTTTCTCTCCTTTCTACCTGCCGCTTCCTGTCGGTTCCCCTGGGTCTCCCTCTCCCGGGCTCTCTATCCTAGCACCATAGACAGCTCCCAGGGCGCGCGGTGGAGCTAGGTGCCCGGGGCTGGCGGGTTCCAGGGAAAGCCTAGGCAACCGCAGGGGGCGCGCCGGGGAGGGATCGGCGGCGCCCGCGGGGGAGGTCGGCGAGGTGATTACAAAGCGCCCTCCCTGGCAGCGTTTCCTGATTAGCTCTAAGTCCAACCAGGGTCACATTCCAAAGAACAAAATCTTCAGATCAATAAAGTAATTCAAAAACCAAAAGATCTCGGGGTAAGTAGTGCTCAGTGACAGATCAACTCTAAACCGCCCCTATTTAATAAGTTCTTAGTAGAAGCCGACTAGGGAGGAGCGGGGCCTCGGGTCTGCTGCTCCGAAGCCTCGGCGCCCAGGCTGCAGTGAGGTCGCCAGTGGGACCGCGCTAAATGCACTGACTTCCTCCGCGCGCACAGCGCACAGCCCGGGGCGTTCGGCCGGCCCCGCCTTTGCGGATGGAGGACCCGGAGCAGGGCTCCCGAGGCGGCTGCCCTGCAGGGCGCAGGAGCCGGGGTCTGCCTCTCCACCGCGGCTCCCACCCGCCGGGCGGGACC